TGTCTCTCTCTGTCTGGCGAGCGCATGAGCCCTATAGCAAAAACCTCTCAAAAAAAAAAAAAAAAATCAGTGTAATTCCCTTGTGAAGATGAAGGCAGATCAAGGGGTGACATCTTTGCTTTTTGGGCCAAGAAATGCCAAAGATTGCCGGTGGACTATCCAGGGAGGGGCATAGATTGTTTCCACAGCCCTCAGAAGGGACCAACTCTTCCAACACCTGACCTTACTTCTGGCCTCCAAAACGGTGGAAGAATCCATTTCTGCTGCAGGAGGCCAGCATAAGCAAACAAACAAGTAAAACAACTCACCCTCATGTGCTCACGGAGATACAAAGTAGAAACGAAAAGAGCGGAATGTATAATAAAGTCCTTGGGTGGCGAAATGACAGCATCTGGGCACCGCTCCACTGGAAGAGATGATAAAGCCGTCAGAACCGGGTGGCTTACTTGGAATGTCGCTGGCGATGATAATCCTAACAGCAAACACACAGCACGTACCCCAAGCCCCGTCCTGCGTCGAGGGCTTTATGTGTATTTGCTGACTTAAGTCACCCAGGACAGCTACCTGGCAGATCGTGCAGGTGTATGGGGCTGGCAGCACAAGTACACAACTGTCACTGCGGCGGTGACATTTCCTGAGAGAGGAATGAACAGCCTTCGGTAGAGTTCTGAACAAAGCAAAGTGCAACTTCTTCTCAATGGACAGTGGTTCTATTCCTGGAAAATTCGGGGTGTGCTGATCCAGAAAATACTGCTGTCTCTAAGTCACAGTGAGGTTCTGGGCTCGGATCGTTTCCCCCTCTCTGCAATGTCCAGTGAGGTCTCTGCTGTTAAATAGGATGCGGGACACTTCCTGGATGGGCAGACTGTCTGGGCATTACAGGTCATCCAGCAGCCCTGGCTCCTGCCCTCTAAATGACCCTGAATTGTGTGATAGTCAAAATGCTCCCATGAATTTCCAGGTTGCTTCCTAGAAATGGAACTGTCTCCTCTGAGAACCCCAGGTTGGAGATGTGGAGTTAGCCTTTCAGAAAGGGAACTCAAGGGGACCAGCAGTTAGCATAATGGCTATGTTGCTGGACTCCCACATAGTCAACCGTGGTTCGCGTCCCAGACCCCGTGACTTAAAACTCACACCGGGCGCGTGTGCGTGCGTGCCCAAGATCCCGAGAGGAGAACGGAGGAGAAGGGATTGCGGCGTGGCCATCCCCTCTGGGGGGTTTCTCGCTTTCTGTCTCTCTGTCTCTTTCTGTCTGTCTGGCGAGCGTACGTGCCCTATAGCAAAAAAAAAAAAAAAAAAAACCTCTCCAAAAACAAGGGAACTCAAGGGACCAGCAGATGGTGTAATGATTGCATTGCTGGACTCCCACACGGGCGACTGTGGTTTGAATCCCAGACCCAGTGTCTTAGAACTCATGCTGAGTGCCTGTGCGTGCATGCCCAAGATCCTGGGAGGAGAATGGAGGAGAAGGGATTGTGGCATGGCCATCCCCCCAGGGGGAGCTGTCTCACTTTCTGTCTCTCTGTCTTTCTGGCGAATGCACATGCCCAATAGCAAACATCTCTCTTAAATACAAGCAAAAGAAAGAAAACTCAGTAGATTATGGTGTGGGGTCAGGAGCAGAGGTACCGGAGTACAGTGACAGGCTCAGCCATGATGCACACCTGCTGTGCAGGCCAGGCACTGCGCTCCGTACCATGGCACCTCCTTCATGGCCAAGGCAGAGTGTAGGAGGAGGGCCATAGGAAAACCTGAGGATCCCACAGCAAGATGACAGGAAGAGGCAGGAGTCGGTGTCTTTCAGCATGGCTAACTGCAGGAGCATGTGTTCATGCTCCTGGCCTCCCAGGGAACCACAGTGCATAAAACAGAGGAGGGAGGCCTTTGACAGATGTCCCCGGGGCCTAGGGAGAGGGAGGTGCTGGTCACAGTTGCCCAGTGCTCTGGAGACCTGATCACCTCCCCACACTGTAAGCTGGGCACCTGTGCTTGGTTGAGGGGCACAACGCCCAGAGAAATGTAAAGCTGGGTTCTGGCCTCAGCGTGGGATGCTGGGGCCTGAATGTCCAGGCAGAGATTCTAGACATGGGCTTGACCAGTACACAGGCCACAGCAGGACCTCCACTGGTGAGGACTCCATGCAGAGACTCCATTGGGCTCTCCCACATGTCTGACCCTCCCTGTCCCTTCTCCAGGGATAAACTGGCCCTGAGCAGGAACATCGAGAAGCTGGAGGGGGAGCTCAGCCAGTGGAAGGTCAAGTACGAGGAGCTGAGCAAGACCAAGCAGGAGATGCTCAAGCAGGTGCGTGCCGGAGCCCGGGCGGGCGGAACTGCAGCTGAATCCTAGCCGCGAGCAGGGGGTCAGGACAGGAGAGAGAATGGTGTGCGTTTGTTTGTCCATCCCTTCAGCAATGGTTCTGAATCCTGGGGCAGGTGGGGTTCTTGCCTTCAGATCACTTTGTGCAGGCTGTGGGCAAGGCAGACCCACAGTAACCAGGCAGACAAGTTCATGAGTCACAAAGGAATCGAACAGAATGAGAGACAGGATGGTGGGTCAGGGAAGGTCTCTCTAGGAAGGTGACATTTGAGACAAGACCTCAAGGGGTCAGCAGAAGCCATCTTTGAGAAGATACAAGGGCAGAGTGCTCCTGGCAGAAGGCACAGCAAATGCAATGGTCCTGAGGCAGGAACGGGCCTCGTGAGTGAGAAACAGAAGGCCATCGTGCCTGGAGAGTAGTGAGGGAGTGATGAGGATGGCCAGGCTTCATGGGTCCTGTAGACCGGGCTGAAGGGGGAAGACACTGGACGGGACATCAGCTGGGTGTCTAGTCAGTTACAGAGGTCACTGAGCCTTGTGGTAGTCAAGGGAGCTGGGTCCTGACATCCCTCCTTACAGATGAGCAAACTGCAGTGCAGGGGCTCAGGACAGGCTGGGCTGCAACCGCTGCCTCCTGTCCAGGCCCCCCATGACCACCAGGGGGCGCAGGCTCCCAGGGAACGCTGGATTGACTCCACGGCGTTTCCAGGTGGAAGGGCCACAACCTCAGAGCCTCCAGCCCTGCCCTGGAAGGGACCAAGTCTGGTCTTACAGTTAGAATCTCTTAGCAATTCTCCTAAAATACAGCTTCCCAGACCCCACCCCCACCCTCCTGAATCAGCATCGTTGGGGATCAGGTTTGAGAGCCTGTCTTTCATCTTTCACGCTGTGATGTGTCACCATTCAAAGAAAAGTGAATGAAACACAAATGTGCTGTTTAGCAGAAAATGATAAAGGTTTTCTTTTGTACCGGGCATCTTTCCGTCAGCATTATGTATTCAAGACATCCATGTGGTTGCAGCAGTTTGTTGGAGTTTCCTGCTTTACAGCAGAGAACTGGTATTATTTTCAAAGCACCCGAGGGCCGGCCCCACAGCACAGTGGTTGGGCCCAGTGCATCAGGAGCTGGATCCCACAGGGTCGACTGCAGTTCGAATCCTGGGCCCAGTGGCTTGAGGGACACAGCAGGTGCATGTGCATACAGGCCCCAAATCCTTATGGGACGGAGAGATGGAGGAAAGCGGTTGAGGCATGGCTGTGCCCCATAGCAAGGTGCTTGCTCACTCTCTCTGGTGAGCACACGCACCTTCTGGCATTTAAAGGAATTTAAAAAGCACCCCACCTGGGGCCGGCAGGTGGTGTGGTGGTTTAGGTCTTGGACTCCCACATGGCTGACCGAGGTGTGTGTCCCAGACCTGGTGGCTTGCTTTCTCACTTTCTCTCTCTCTCTTGCTCTCACTCTCTTTCTCTTTCTCATGAGTGTGCACGCCCTGTAGAAAAATTTTAATAAATAATAATAAATAAATAAAATTAAATCATTCTTTTTATTTTTTCTTTTTTGGAGAGGTTTTTGCTATACGGTGCATGCGCTCACCAGAAAGAGAGAAACAGAGGGACAGAGAACGAGAAATCACCCCTCCACAGGGATAGTCACACCACAATCCCTTCTCCATTCTCCTCGCGAGATCTTGGGCACGCACACACACACGCCCGGCATGAGTTTAAGCCACCGGGTCCGGGACTCGAACCACAGTCGATTATGTGGGAGTCCAGCAATATAGCCATTACGCCAATTGCTGGTCTAAAAATTAAATAATTCTTTTAAAAAAAAAATCACCCCAGCACACCTGTGTTTATTTTAGATCAGTGTGTGTTGGGGGCCACCCTATGCCAAGGCCACACAGAGACACAGAGGTGTACAGACAGACAATCTCCCTGTCCTCCTGGGCCTGCATTCTAGTGGAGAGAGAAGGGGAGATATTTCTATGCCAGGTGGACAGGAGACGCTTCCCTACAGAGGAGGCTTTAGACCAAGGCCTGAGAAGAAAAATGTCAGTTCTGCAAAATACCTCAGAGAACAGCACTGTGAGTGCAAAGGCCCTGTGGCAGACAGGATTTGGTGTATTTAAGGAATAGAAAGGCGTCCATGTGGGTCTGGCCCCGTGGCCTGTTGGTTAAGGGAGCCTAATCCCACATGACCAACTGTTCAAAATCCAGACCCTGTGGTTAAGGAACATTCTTGATGTGTGTGCTCATGTGACCAAAATCCCAATAGGTTGGAAAAAGAAGGGATTGCAGTCTGACCACACCAGCGGGTAGTGGCCACACCAGTAGGCAGTGCTCTCTCTCTCTCTCCTTTTCTCTCCATCCCTGTCTCTCTGACAAGCACATGTGCTGTCTGGGAAATAATAAAAAAGAAAGGAGTCTGTGTGCCTGAAGCACGGTGGATTAAGTGGAGAGGGAAAGGAGGGGAGGTTGAAGAGAGGTGGCCTTCTCCTAAGACACCTCAGAGCCATGGAAGTGCAAGAGTGCGGCCATCTTGCATTTTTGGAATGGGGGGATGGCCAGATGGTGAGGAGGTGGAGGTGGCAGAAGCAGTTGGGTTCAGGATCTGTTCTGAATACCTAGCACCCCTGTGGGCACCACCCAAGGCTCCCTGCTGAGCACCCTGCACCGGCACCACCCTGCAGAGCTGCTCCTGGGATATCTCCGGGCAGCCTTCAGCTAACCAGGCTGGGCGATCCCTTGCAGCTCAGCATCCTGAAGGAAGCCCACCAGGACGAGCTGGGCCGCATGTCCGAAGACCTGGAAGATGAGCTCGGGGCACGGTCTAGCATGGACAAGAAGCTGGCTGAGCTGAGGGGCGAGGTGAGACCACGGCAGGACCCTGGAGGACCTAGGGCTTGGCGGCCCAAGGGCCATTCTTCTATCAACTGGCTCTGGGAAAAGGGCAGGAGCTAGGCGTGTGCCCTGAAGGGGGTCAACCACACCCTGAGGGTGCCCCAGGGTGCAGGGCGGGCCTCTCTCCTCCACCAAGACCGGAAATGCCCTCTCATACACACTGCAAATGAGCCCAGCTTAATTATAGCTGCTGCAGCTGGACCTGCATCCTGCAGCCAAAAATGGCTATGGGGGGTGGTGGGGACATCCACTCCAGCCCTTGGTGCCCTCTCCCCTGGGAGTCCTCCCTCTGTCCACCTTTGCAGATGGAGCGGCTGCAGGCCGAGAATGCAGCCGAGGGGGGCCGCCGTGAGCGGCTGGGGGGAG